ACCACAGAATTCACTGAATGTTCTCACTCAGAACAGCCAGGGCTGAAACAGTAAAGACTGAAAACTTTCTGGTAAAGGCAAAGAGGTGTTTCCACAACTCTTACAGGAAAGTACCATTAGTACAAGTACTGAGCTGACTGACAAATGCAGAAGCTGAACAGCTGTATGCTGAACACAAATTCTCACTGCAAAGCCACCAGCATCTGCTAAACTCACCTTCCTAAGAGCATGATGTTTTTCAGAAGCATGGTATCTGAATACCTTCTACTGCTGATTTGGAGCATATCTCTATATTTATGCTTTTCTGACTTACTGACAGTCATGTAGACCCTCAAAAACTTTGGTGTTTGCTTTATTCTGTTAATTTTAGCCATATGTTTTTCCTCACCTTTCCCTCAGCTTGTCAGCACTGGAATCTATGAATTCACTTCATTTAAAATGTTTGCTTCTTTGTATGTACTGCAGATTGTAATCCATCTACACCATTAAGGGAAAGCAGCCCTTTTTCCCAAGGGGAAATGCAATCAGTTTCTAGGAACAACCAGTGTATTACTAGATAGGTGAATGCTGGAATGTCAGCATCTAAATTAGCATTACAGACAGAATAAATCAACATTAACACTATTACACACTTTATATGAGAGGGCTTACAAAGTTAAGGGGGTCATAGAAAATCACAGTTCTCTCCTCCTTCCTGGTAAAAAGTTACTCCTGTGAAGTTTTGCTTCAAACTGCACATGCACCAGCATACAAGAAACTCCAAAATGCAAACAGAAAAGCACAGTGATAAACAGGGAAATTTATTTTTAGCCCAGCAGAGATTTATCACTGTGAGAGTCTTGTGACTTTGACAAATTTAACAATAATGAGTTGTGTATACAACCTACAATAGCTGACAGCAAATAATATATTCCATCTGCTGGAGTTGTCCCAGGAGGCTGATGTTCAAGGTCTAAAAACTTTCAAATTTCTATAATTTTTTTCCTCCCTAATAAAAAGCATTATGAAACAGCTATTTGGTTCATTTTGTGAAGCATACATTGCATTGAATAGCTGTTATTTGAAGAGGAAGCTCAAAATGCATATAGAAAAAATTCAGTTACACCAAAATTTTATTTTCCTTCTATATGGATCGGTCTCTATGACCTGCCACTCACTTAAGTGCCTTTTTTAAAGCTTACAGGAACATTAAAGATGCCAGAGTGCTCATACATGTCTTGTCATCCTAATAAATGACTCTGCTGCAGGGGAGTACATACACAATGGATGACAAAAGTACAGGTGAAGATCGATTTCAAGACTCCCTATGGATATAAACTCAAGTGAGGATGAAAATATTAAACCAGACGCCCTGGTATGAAACAGTTCCTCAGCAGAAGCAGAAGTTATGCATGGGGAAAAAAAAAAACCTGCACTAGAAGATCTCAAAGACACTCTGAGGGCTGGAGCACCTCTCCTGTGAGGACAGGCTGAGAGAGTTGGTGTTGGTCAGTCTGGAGAAGAGGAGGCTCCAGGCTGATCTCATTGTGGCCTTCCAGTACCTAAAGGGGGCTTGTAAAAACACTTTTTATATGGCAGACAGCAATAGTACAAGGGGGAAAGGTTTTAAACCAAGAAAGGAGATATTCAGATTAGATATTAGTAAGAAATTCTTTGTTGTGAGGGTGGGGAGGCCCTGGCACAGGTTGCCCAGAGAAGCTGTGGCTGCCCCATCCCTGGGAGTGTTCAAGGACAGGCTGGATGGACTTTGGAGCAACCTGGTCCAGTGGAAGGTGTCCATGCCCATGGCAGATGGCCTAGAACTGGATGATCTTCCCTTCCAACACAAACCATTCTATGACAATTCTCTGATTTCACATCACATGTTCTAGAACTGTTTTTCTAAAAATCTATGTTTGCATGAGTTGTTCCTTATTAATTTCTTTATAAAAAGAAATTGTGAGAGGTTTGACTTCAAACAAGGAAACTATTATTGTGGAAGATTTTGGCCTTTCCATGTCTGTAAGAATGGTCAAGCTCTTAGTGTTACAGAGCACCCTAAATCAGTCACATCCAGAACCCCATGCATGGTGCAGAAATCAGGGGCTGTTTTCCTGTTAGGTTATCAAGCATTTGTTTCAAAGTTCCACTGGTTTTGGTGAGCAAAGATTTTATTTCTATATTATGCACTATCCACTACCTGGTTTTTATTCCATATACACAAGTATCTCATAAAACACATGATCAACATTATTTTTAAGATTTCCCTTTTCTAAAACCTTCTTTGTACAAAAAAGGAAAGCATTTTTGCCCAGCTTGGAAAGATATGCCTCCTAAGCAAGTTTTGAGCAAGCCAAGAGGATTCTGGGTGGACATGGAAACATGAAAAAGATTTCATAAGAAAAATTTTATTTGCATGAAAAAAGGTGCACATACATAATGCAGTTCCTGGATTAAGGTAAATTCCTCATTTATCAAGGATATTTTAACTATATTTCAATCTATTTCTGCAAGGAAACAAGGAATTTTCTGTTGCCTGCACTTGACAGGCATTTGTTTCATGCCTTCCTACAGTCCCTCTCACATCTGACCCCAGTAGCAGAATAGAAGAGCTGTTTTAAAGCAATAGCTCTGTTCCTCTTAGTGAAAAGTGATATAGTAAATGTGATCTAATTCAACAACTAAGTTCACCATCATCTGTAAAATATCCAGCACAACCAATGGATAAAATATTCCACTATAGCAACACTCAAATAGAAGCTATCATAGCTCTTTTCAATTACCTTTTTTATTATTATTATTTTCTCTGTCTTTTCTACTTTCAGCTTTGAGAGGAAAAAAAAAATAACCCCATTTACAGGCTTGAAACCTAGTACTTCCAGTTTCCAAGAACAGAAGCCTATTAATTCTGGCAAGGAGAACTTCACTGCGAGAAATCAGGTTTAAACTTTTTAGAGGTGTCAAGAATGTTCAGTCAATTGAGCAATTGTGTTTGCCAACTACATTCCTGGAAGCTTTGCAACAGAAGGAATGAATCAGAAAAATCAAATTAAGTGTGATTTACCCCTGACACTGGCTAAGGCAAAAAGTGAAAGAAAATAAAAAATAGATAAAACTTAATCAGTAAGGGAATAATATGCATGGCTGTCTCTCACAACAAGAATAACTTAGACCAGCTTAAAAGTAAAATAAGAAAACATTTTCAGAAGAAGGGGGGAAAATTCTTTCATTTTCCTGTTACCAAGCAGGAAGAGATACAGGCTTGTCTTTTTACCCCCTTTCCTGTGATGAAGAGCTTTGCTCAGATTAATTATGACCATTCAGAGAACAAAGCTTTAGTGAATAAACGTACACTGCCAGAGTCCTGAATGCAGCCAACATAGTCCTCAACATCTTATGGTCTACAGTGCTGTTACAAATTACACAACACTTTGCTCCTTCTGTCCAGCACTGACTGATATCAAAATATCAAAATACACTCAGTGAAATCTGCAAGGGAAGCTGCACTGCTTCAATAAATGCTGAAAATGAACACAGTATTCTGAGACATGTCATTTATAAATATCACACCCTTCACCCCCTTTCCCAGAACCCATAAAAGCACCACCAGTACCAAACAACAATTAAAATACCACAATTGCTGAAAAGCAACCTGACCTCAAAGTAACAGGTTAGACATTTACAGCAGAGCATAAAACACAAGGAAGAGCATAAGGGGGAATGGAAACTTCCATCAGTGGAAGGAAAGCTCTCCTTTCTGCAGTGGCCCTTCATGGCTATCAATTGCATGAAACCTCTTGAAGGTCTCCCTGTGAAAGCCAGATGTCCCTGTCCCTTACAGATGCACCTCAATATGCCACAGCTCTCAGATTCCTGCTATTCCACATCTGACTGCTCCAGCATGGATGACACAGGTTGCACTGACAATCTAGCAACTCTATAAAGTCAGAGCAACCCAGTGAAACTCCCACTTTTGATTGTGTTCAGTACAAGAAGACACCACATGTTCCCTTTTGGGGGGCAAAAATATTTGAAGTACTTTTTATTAAATAAACCTTCGTGTCAAGACTACAACCATACTCTGTCCAGGCTGAAGTTTTGTGTCAGCTTCAATGTGATGTAAGAGCAGCAATTTCATACAGAGCTGATGTTCAGGTTTATCAAAGACAAATGAAAACCTAACTCAAATCATGACATAACACACCCTAGACTAGGGCCAGCATCTTTGGATAACTCAGTAAACTTGGCAAGGCTTTGTATGCCTCTAGGTATGGAACATAACTCAGACTACAAGGAAACATTCTCCCTTTTAGCAGATCCAGAACAGATCCCCAACCCCATCAGACAAAGGACATCAACACAGAAGTGGAAAAACTAGCTTTCCAGAAAATCTTCTTTTATAGTAAACAATACCATTTCACATGCACATTTCCATTACAAACTTAATTAAAAGTAAGAATTTTACAAACAAAGCAACTATCCTAACTCAGCACTGAAATTCAATCAGTTTTCAGGTTGAAATACACCCGTCATTTATAGAAACATACAATATTTTAAATGAAGCAAAAAAAAATCCCATTTATAAAAACCTATTGGTTGATATAGGCATAAAAATGCTTAGCTGTTCCTATCACAATTTGTTTGCACAATGTTCAAGAGGGTGTAAAAAAAGTAAAAATATTTTTCCTGGTTTATTTTTCCTTCCTTCAGATTCTCTGTGAGATAAAGTTTAAAGGTGGGGTAGATTTGAGGAAGCTTTCCATACATTCTGAAATAATTCAAAAAAGGAGAATTAACAATATAGTTGACATTTTAATTGATTTAAATTTGGTAAACAAAGAAAGATCTTGATATTCACACCATATGTATCTAAATCTGTGTCTTCCTACTTTTGTTATGCAATCATTGTTTGGAGGCATCTTGCTTTACTGATTAGTTGAGAAATTTTCCCTTCAGCATGTCAGTTCTTTCTAACATCATCTCTTAAAAAAAAAAAAAAAGCTAAAGTCAATGTAAATTACCTCTAGGTTCATCAATGTAGAAAGATACATCTTTTTTGTGCTCTTGTTCATCAACGTGATCATAAGTGATCTGTGGAACAGACAAGGCATTTTCTCCTGGGTTTATTGCAGGTGCAGAACCATTACCACATCCTAGCTTCCCTTTTCTTTTGTATCTTCTAGCCTGTGGTGGTAGAAATGGAATTATATCAGAAGATGTTATCAAACACAGACAGGTACACCCGTGACCCTCAGGATGCAGTAAATTTACTTGAGGTTGTATGTTTTTTATTTAAATAATGAAATTGAAATTAAGTGAAAGGGTTAGAACCTTAGTCTTCAAAATATCTGATTCCGAATTATCAACTAAAATCTCGTAAGAATTGATTCTCAGGAGAAGATGCCCAACACATTTTGAAAAATCAGGTCTCAAGTACCAAAACTCAAGGCATACAAAATACTAACCACTTAAGTACACATCAGCTTGGCTGTATCATCTTTCTAAAGCTTTAATTAAACATACCCATAGACTTTGAACTGTGAACTAGGCCCTGTGCAGCTTTTTCAACTGAAATAAAATTCACCTTTTACCAAAAAGGCCAACTTATGCACATCAGGGGAAGATAAATTCCTCCTCCTGCCTCCATACAGTTCTCCTGATTTTCGAAGCCTAATAAATGTCCTAAAATTGGCACTTAAAACCAAAAAAATTAAGGTTTAGATCAACATAAGAGAAGATGAGCCTTTGGTAAGAGATGAAAGAACCATGGCTTAGTTCTTAAATTAGGATTAGCAGTTCACAGGGAGGTTCAGGTTTAATATGTTTGGGAAATTCCTCTAAATAGAGAAAACAGAGGGAAAATACCATCTATTTTTTTCAGCTCTCAAACCATTGACTGTTTGCTGTTCAGCACCACTTACAAAGGAGCCTTACTTCAGCTTTACCCCTTTCCTCCTGTTTTTTCTGTCTCCAGTTATGACAAAGCAAAGTCATGGCAAAGTCACACTCTGCTCGATACCGAGCAGGTCACACTGCTGTGACACAACACATACGTGCACACACATCATGCCCTTACAGCCTTCTCCATGTGAAATTGTACTGCCCTTCTCCCCGGGGCAACAGGCAGCAGTGGCATTTCACTGCCTAAAACCAGGCCTCCAACACCATTTGAGAAACCCTGAGCCTCTGAGCTCAAACTGCTGCAGACCTCTGCCTTTCTGGCCGGGGTGCTGAAGGCTGGGCAAGCTTGGCAGTGCAACTACAGGACTGTGTTTGGGCAACCCCACCTGTGTGGGCAAACACTGTTCCACTTTACTGCACCCAAAACTCAGGAATCTGCCCTAATTTCTACACTCAGCCCCAAATACAAGTACCACGGAGTACTTCAGGAAAGCACAGCTACTTGTCAGCCACAGGTTGAATGTGAACATAAGTTTTTAAACTATCTTTCTCCTTTCTTCTTGTATGAACTACTATGCAAAACGAACACATCATTACTTTACAGTACCCTTTGAGAACGTAGGAGACTTCAGAGGGGATAAAACAATGGAGAATTGGCACCTGTCTGACCACCAAGGCATTTTAAAGTTCCCTCAGAAATATTTTTAAGGAAAACGCAGCCAATCGCGCTGTGGCATGAGGAAAACAATCAAGCGTGTTTCAGCTGTCCAGATTCTTCACTCACTTCGCGAGGCTTTTGGCAAGTTATTCCACTGAGATTTAAAAGCAAGCACAGAACCGAGCTCTGCCCATCCTCCGTTACCTGTTTTCTCAGACTAGGGCTAGATGGCGCTGCTGACTTTTTGGGATTTTGCGCTGGGGGTGTAACATAGATCTTCCACGTCGCTGTGGAACTGCAGGATTTCTCTGCTGCGTAGCACCGCCACAGAGTCTGCAATGAAACCCAAACCCAACAATCGCAGTGAATAAGCAGCCACTGTTGGGGCAGGTAAGTCAGATTTTGCTGCAAATCGAACTGACAACAAAACTTTCAGTCGAGGTAAACAAGCTGCAAAGGGGTCTGACTGCAGTCATGGTGCTGTACCACAACACCGTAACTAATAAAATACACTCCTCCCTCTACATAACCGTGGTGAATGTAGTTTGCACCAGGACAGCTCCACGCATTACACAGTGATCTTCAGGACACTCCTCGGTGCACTCTCCCTAGGAGCTGGGATCTCTCCCTGCCCACAGCATGTGGGGGGGGGGGGGGATCAAGACAAAACAACCCTCATAGAAGTGAATCCCCACAAGCATCACTGGATTCTGCTGCTTCCTTTTTCCTTCACTGTGCCACGTTCAATATTTGTGCACCATGCTACTGTATTTGTTATATTAGCATACAGACTTATCCTGGGGCATTTGTCTAAACAGAGGTGTGTGTTTACATGTGTTTGTACACGCATTCACCACCTCAGGATTTCGCAGATGCACAGGACCTAAGAGAATATAAAAAGGAAGTTATGAATTAAATATTATAATGAAGATTTTTTTATTTATTTTTTTTTTACTATTTCACCACATATACTCATTGTGTCCAGTTAGGGTCCTTATGCCTGTGAATATCAGGTTAGCACACCTAGAGATGGAGTACAGGCAATTATCTAATTTTCTCTAGTGACTAAAGTGGATCAAAATGACTAAGTGGTTAAACACAAGTTATAGATTTATAATAAAATCTAGGAACCATGATTCTCAGTATTTGAACTACTAGGCCACACTCCTTCTCCAATAAACTCCTACGTATTTTACTGTTAGGGGCCTTACCTGAATTAGGGAAGCTGCAGCTGGGATTTGTCTGTTGAAATGCTTCTGACGTTGCTTTTGCTGTACTTTCAGGGCAAAACCGGACCCCAAAATACCCTAAATATATCCAAAATTCCTAATCAGACTCCAATATGGCTTCACATACCTAAATCAAATACTTAGCATATGAAAGAAACAGACATTTTATAAAAGACTTTCTGAGAAAAAGAAAAATCATGATTTTTCAAATGTCCCACCTTTATCTAAAACAACTGCTGTAAAGATACAGCAGCTTCATTCACAGAATCATAGAATCACTTGGGTTGAAGGGACCTTAAAGGTCATCCAGTTCCAATCCCTGGAGAGGGACACCTTCCACTAGACCAGGTTGCTCAGAGCCCCATCCAACCTGACCTTGAACACTTCCACCCACAGCTTCTCTGGGCAACCTGTGCCAGGGCCTCACCACCCTCATAGGGAAGAATTTTTTCCTAATTCCAATCTAAACTTACTCTCTGACAGTTTGAAGCCATTCCCCCTTGTCTTGTCACTCCAGGCCCTTGGAAATATTCTCTCTCCATCTTTCTTGTGGGCTCCCTTCAGGTACTGAAGGCCGCAATTAGGTCACCCCAAAGCCTTCTTTTCTCCAGGCTGAACAATCTCAATTCTCTCAGCCCTTCCTCATAGGAGAGGGGCTTCATCCCTTGGAGCATCTTAGTGGCTCTCTCTGGATGACCCCAACAGGTTGATGTCCTTCCTTCGTGTTTCCATACACACAAACACACACTTGGGGATGTGTGTGTGCACATTCTGAAGCAACATTCAACCCGGTTATTTCCTACCAAAGGCACCAATTTAAAATTACCTAATTGTGCACCCAAGTCAGACAGATTCAAACTCTACTTACCGCTGGCAGAGCAAAGAAAGAGATAGCAAATACTGAAAAACAGGAAGCTATTGTCTTCCCAATCCACGTCTGGGGAACTTTGTCTCCATAACCAATTGTCGTGACAGTTACCTAGGCCAGAAACAAACACCTGTTTCAGTGCAACAGAGTACCTTTTCTCTCCAAAAAGCAGGGGAAAAAGAACAAAAGGAGAAATACATTAGAGAAATATCAGGAGACAGGCATGAATGAGCAGTGTTTGGATATGGGAGTACCCTAAACATCACTGTTGATTTATCCTGGTTTTACATTCTTCAGCAGACATTCACAGCTGACCACTGTTTTGGAGACAACAGTAGTCTGGGTGTAGGATGACTGTTCTCACAGCTTGTAGCTGGCTGCTTCCACCATTCCAAAACTGCAAGAATTGGCTCTGTGGGCTTGAAACCATAGGCTTGCAGTTTTTCTGCCTTTGCTTTTAAAATGTAGTTCCACAGCGGACAGAAAAAAGCCCTGAAAGCACCGACTTGCACACAACCAACATGGGTATTTGCCCATCTCTGCAGTCAGGCACACACTGGGAGAGGCAGGGTAAGCCCTGTGCTGACAGGGATGAAAAGGGACAGAATTTACACCATCCCAGCTGAATCTTCATGGCAAGAAGAGGAACACACAACCATTCCAGGACGTGTTAACTCCCAAAATCAACCTGCCAGTAGACCAAGAGCTGAATGCAGCTGAGCCCCGTGCTTACCTTTTATTCCTCCCCCAACAAATAGAGGACTTTGCCACTCAAAATTGTGTTTAAGCCACAAGATGCTTATACCTGGATCTGCTCATTGCTTACCAGAGGCCAGGTACTCCCTAAGGGACAAAGGAACCCAAAGTCAAGGAAGATAATGTACCCAGCAGGCTACATTATCTGTCCTGATTTCTCCACTAAGGACCTGGTCCCACAGCAGCCAAGCAAAACAGAAGCAGAAAGTGCAGCCAGATCCAATCAAGAGTCTGGAGTATAAAGCGGTATCTTAGCAACAAGGCAGGTCTGACATTAAGCCAGGAATTCCATCCCCAGGTCAGGATTAGGATCAGGTACAGTGGTCAGCATGTAGGTCCACAGGGATGGGGCATTGGCAAAATATTAGTCCTTAGGTGAAAGTCAGGATTAAAGGACTCCACAGCCAGACCCAGATGCAGTAAAGCTAAACACCATCTCTCCTGTAGGAAGATTCTGAGTTTAAACAGAGCCCCTGGATGTGGCTGGAGGCCACTGGTGATGCTGGCCAGGGTCATTAGGCCAATTAGTGCCCTCGGGGCCTTAACAACACCCCTCCCCACTTCCACTCTAAGCAAGGCATGTGCTTACACAGCTCTGGGATCTGTAGGGACTTGCTGAAGAGGGACTAAATCACTGTGGGGGTGGCAGGCCACCCCTGGAAAATCACACAGGCAGGAGGACCTGAGCATGATGGAGGTTTTGGGCTGTTCCTGATGAACCCCAGCAGGAAGGAAGAGAATTCATTATGAGGCCAGTGGACAGTAAAGAATTGGTGCTGGGCAGGGATCAGAGTTCAGGTAAAGGCTGGTCCATCAGAAGGGCCCATCAACAAGGGCCAGCTGCTCCCCAGAGGAAGGTGATAATCAGCAGATCCCAAAGAGGATCCCCAGGCAAGCCAAGGGAATCCAACATATGGCCAGGCAGGGGCCTCACCACTCTGGGCACAGGCTCAGGGTAGGATAGACTCAGACACTGACTGTGCCCAGCAAAGAATCCCAGTCATACAGCAATATCCAGGTAGGGAGGGATGTCTGAGGCTGAGTATGGAAGCCAGACTGTGGGTTGAGATCCAGCTCACCAGACCGTGGCTGAGCTGGGAACCAGCTCTCCTCCAGCACAGCTCAGGCAGCAAAAAAAAACCCCAGGGCTGAGCCTTAATAAGTCATGAGGGTGTTGGGGTGACCCCTGGTGTGCCTGGCCAGAGCCATTAAGGCTTTTTAGCATACTCAGAGCTCTGATGCTGCCATAAAATGGTGTGAGAAATGTGGCTTGTACTCCCTGAGAAGTGAAAGGCTTCTGGTGAGGAAGTGAAGAATTCTGTCACCAATGCTAACCACTGGGGAGAACTTTAAATAGAAAAAATGCACTTCTATTTGGGAGCCCTAGCCCTAAACCTAGTCCCCCTCCCTTCACTTTGCCTTGAATGGTAGCAGAAATACAGCCAACACAGACTTAAAAGAATATGTAAATTTACACTGACTACAAAAGAGGCTGCCTTTTATGGAAAAATTTGCTGACAAATGCTTAGATATTATGCAAAAATAGGCTTCTCAGAAGAAGCTATCAAGCAATAAAGGCATGAGAAGAATATATTTCCTCCTCTCAGAGCAGTTCTACAGAGAGCTGGAAGAAATATTTGCAGGGAAAAAATGACCAACTACTATCAAACTTAATTTTTCCAAGTTCAAAAACAGTTAGGCTTGTGTTTATTCATCATAAATTTCTCACTTGATGAAGTTCACTTTGTAGAATCGAATGAATATTGTTATTTTGAACTGTAAGCTGCTCTCAGCAGGAACTCTGTCTTTCCAGGTGTTTGTCCAGATTTAATGTGGCTTGTGAAGTGACTCAGGTGCTGTGTACTACCAGCAGTACAAACAGATGAGTTTGCCAGTCCCCAAAATTAAACCAGACCCCCCAAAATTCAACTTTGAAATGCAGTATGTGTTAGTGGGCAGTGGAGGAAGTTAAAGCAGTGTTTCTTTAACAGCACTTCAGCTCCTCAGTGCACCCAGATGACCCCTTAAAGTCTGTGATTTTTCCTTCCTTTTCCTCTCTTTTTTTTTCTTATGAAAGGCTTCTTGGTTTTTTTGTGGGTGGTTTGTTTGGTTTGGGCTTTTTTTTTTTTTTTTTTTTTCTGACTTCTCCAGCACTCAGGGCTCAAAAACAAACTGCAGTAATGTTGAGCTGCCTTAGTGTTACTATGGAAGACAGCATGAAAGCTGTAACCACAGAAAAGATGAATTTTCCATCTCTACAGCAAGCATTTGGCTGGCAGATTCCTACAGGTGCCTGAACATGTCTCAGAAAGTTTTTCCCTGGCTACCTTAAGAGGATGCCTTCTTGGTAATCTAATTAGTACATAGAATATGGAAAGGATTATAAATAATGTAATTCTCTGGATTTCTTAATCACAACAGATTATTTTTTTTCTACTTGCACATCCAAATGTTATTAGTATCTCTGAGAAGAGAATATTGAATGTGGTTTTTGGAAAATGACACCTCCTTCGTAACACAGATTTATGGTGGCACGTTCCGGCTGGTGTGCACATGCTCTAACACAGGCTCTGAAAACATATCTGTACACTTCAAAAAGGGAAAAACTTAAATTCAGTAGAAGTCAACAGAGTTGCCCAGATGCTTTAAGACAGGCAGGTGTCCTGAAGCGTGAAGAGTCAGAACTGCACACCTCAAAAAACATACTAAATATAAAAGGGTTCAAACTGCTACCTCTGGCACGAAAATTTACTACTGGAAATTCTGAGCAACTGATCCTAAGTACCTCTGCCAGTTAACACCAATTTACTGGAGAAACTATTTAATGCAAATTCAATGGTACAGAACAGTTGAGTTTGCAGCAAGACCAGTTAGTGTTACCAGCAGCAAGAGACAAGTGTGGAAGGGCCAACAGAAGAGAAGCCTCCTATGTGCCCTTCTTCTTTCAAGAAAAAGTACCCAGAAAGGACAGGAAAACTGCTGTGACATGGGTTGCAATTCTGGCAGCCCGACCATGCTGTTAGAAATGCTGTTGCATGTGTTGTACATGCTAAAACTTCTGAAAGTAGCTTCATGTAAAATACAAGTCTTTGATATTTTATTGCAGTTTAACCTGTTTGCCTGCCAAATTTGGGTGAAACGACTTTGCATTTAACTGAAGCAGGTGAATGTAGTTAGCATCTAATTCCAACTCTCCTTCATTCTTTATTTTTTCTTTTCTTCACATTTAAACCTTTCAGGTCATTTGTATCAAGTTCAGCAAGCTTGCACTTTCTACTCAAAGCAAAATATTCCCCATAATACACTGTGGTTTTTGTCAGACGCTTTCAAATACTTGCTACTGAGATTTTTTTTTTCCTCTGGTTTAGTTTTGAAAGGCAAAAGTGAAATCAAATTTCACTCCCTAGTAACTCCACATCTGTGTTTCTATGTTACAGAAGATTTGAAAAGAAAAAGAAACTGATTCACTTTGTCCTCTGTCACTGTTCCCAGCTGTGAACTGCACCTGCACCGTGACTCACTGAATGCTGAGGAGGCCTACATGCCTGAAAAGCTTAAACAACAATTTAAACAGTGTTCTTCATGTGCCTCACACAGCTAGAGAAAGAGAAGCTGATTTTATCTTGCTGTTAACACAAAACAAGTGAAGTTTTGGAAAACAACAACAAAACCCATTGAACACTTTGCACGGCCTTTACATACACTTTGAAACACAGATTCCAAGTCATCTATCTCAGCAAGGTAATAAAGTGCATTTTAAACTTATCTGTTGGTCTTCATAACCAATAAAGACCTAATGAATTCCTAATGAATTCCTTTTATATTCCTGAAGTCCAAAATACTCTTGTATAAACACATCCTGGCTTTTTTAATTTTTTTTTTTTTACTCTTTAATCAAATCAGTGCTGTAGTTTATAGCATTTAAAAGTTTTTCGTAATCCACAACTAAGTATTCAATGCAACTCATAAACTAAGCTCTGGTTAACTAGAGCTTAAAAAGAAAAAAAAAAAGGGAAAGGAAGGTAGAAAGGTAGAAAAAAGTGCACTGGAATAACCTATGTATGAATATACGTGGACAGAACTGGATGCTAAAAGTGAGGGCTAGTTCCCAACTCATTGCTGGAAATCCTCTTTTGTTTTCCACTGTACCTTGTTTCTCTCAGTTTGGTAAGTTCTTCATCCAACTTCCCCCTCCCCCCCCCCCCGATCAGGTCTGATTTTGGCCATTTCTGGCCTTTTGCACTTACAGGCCTTTATGAAACACCAAAGACACTGTGCAGAGCCAACATGAGTCACTATCCTTTAATGTTTACATATTAAATTTAGACCTCCTTATTAATAAACTGTATGCTTTCCCTTTCTTTCAATGGTGTCATTCTAATTCAAAGATACTACAAACTTACTTGGAACTTCACTTTGCTAGAAAAATTTATGAGCTATTTCTCATGGGTTTATCTGAACTAGCACAAACTTTTATGGGAGTCCCTGATGCTGCTGAACTTCCCCCAAGAAGCCCCACTTTTAATCAGATGTACTTCACAGACCATTCATAAAGCCAGAACAGGAGCTGTGTTCCACTGCATTCAGTCATTGGAACGCTGGTGTTGGAGCTGAACTGCTCAAATAATAGAAGAATAAGTGAACCTGTGTACTAGTTTGTTTCCTTAAAGCAGACATGGGGTATCTTTCAATTATACCCTAATTGTTTTTCTCCTCAATTACAGCACAATTTGTGCTTCTGATACATTTATTATTTTCCTGCACTAGCCAGAGGTGGTCTCATATCTATAACCATGAGATTTTATATTCTGAAAATTTTATCATATTTCCATTGAGGACTTTTACAAGTGATCGTTGCATGGGCTAATTCGTGGTCTCATTTCTTCCCAGCACCTTAGATAATCAGGTCCATCTGGCCATTTAGTGGATTTTTCTTTTTTACTAGATTCTTCTTAGTTTGTACTATTTTTTTGCACAGCCAAAGGTGATACTCTGCAAATGAAATGAATATTTGACAACCCAGTGACAGGAATTTAATGTTTAAAATATTTTTATACAGAACCACTTAAAAAGTGGTAACTCAGGCTACATGTAATATAGTCTACATTTCTGTATACTTCATTGAAGTAGAGGCTTATGCAGCATCTAAGTTAAAGATTAGAAACATATATCTATTAGGAACATTTTGTCTGCCTTGACAGTTTATTTGGATGTGGAGAAAAAATTGGTTTATGGCCCAATAACTGGCATTTTTCCAAGTCTATTATCTAAGAACAAATCCAGTATATAGTCTTGAAATATATCCTTCTTTATCAGGAATTTGGGGGCTCTGCATCTGCTCTGGTCCTCTCATTTTTCTGTGTCACTAACACTGATGTGATGGATCTCTTTGGGTTTGTTACAATGCGATAGCCTACTCAGAAATTTTGTGAGGTTCTCTAGTGGGGAAAAGGGCCCAAAATAGAAGGGATAGTTTATGCAAAAGCTAGTAAAGAAGGAAAGCTTAAGTCACAATGAGAAATATGATGAGAACAGCCATATGAAGGGAGTCTAGAAAAAATCTGGCCTCTTATTCTGTTTCACAGCTCTCTATTCCTTTTTCAACTGATTCTGGGCATGCACATGATAATTACCACAATGCTCTCAAAAGCCCAGTTCCGCTTTAAGGGTATTTTCTTCCTTTATTTCACCAAAGATTTTCACAAAATGCACCTGACTGATGACTGATATCCAAAGGATTTGATGAATCCATGAAGTTTTGCCAGCTGCTTTCAATGGATCTATTTACCTTTACAGAGAATCGCAGATTCATTTTAAAAAAAAGCCAACAGGAACCTCTTACCTGCATAAAAGTCTGCATTACTACTCAAAAAAAATAAAGTCATTACCCCACTTCCACATACAGAATATAGTTTTAAAGTTATGCACCATTTGCAGATAACTAAGTAGAGTTTAAAAGAAGTGGTATAGGTTTTGGAGGGAATTTACACTCTTATGAGATGTGGACGTTTTATATCTGTAAACATTCATGACTTGCTGACCTGCTTCCACAACAAAATTTAATACCCAAATAATTTAATTGTATGTGTGACATTCTTTCTTGTACCTTCTTAAAAGACTGTTGAGCCTCCCTACAGAAATACATTCTGCAAAGAAAGGAAGACCAGATTTTTTTAAAAAAATATCACAACTTTAACAGGAAGCCTTATGCACTGTTTGCATACAGATTTGACTGCTAAGGACTTACCACACCCCACCAAAGGGCATCAGCATAGCTGGAGAAACCTGTCTTTCCATCTTCATCAACTGCATCCTTCTCAGCAAGATAAACAAAATAGGATGAAAAAATTAACCCCAAGAATCCAATGTACAACGTGGTTATGAGTTCCTATTAAAAGAGAAAGCAAACAAGCGCATCAGGTTTACATCATGCATATTCTATCATTGTAAAACATTGTAAAACACTGTAAATTATCTGGGGGTCTTTTGGATCACAGTAGAAAAATTAATCTGTTATATTTCAGGTATAAAATTTGCCTCCAGTGAAACAGGTAGCGCAGTAACTTGTTTTCTATGCATACCAGGCTAAAGAGTTCAAAAAGCTATCATTAATATGAGATCATTTGGGCAGCTAAATGTAGAGTGGGACATCTCTCCTAATTATGCCTTGTGAATGGAAATCATTCCACTTAACTGTCCACTTAAAATAGTAAATCTCTAAACATTTTTAAAATATCAAAACAGCTTCAGAAATGCAGTTTCTGAACAGTACACAGAAATAACAGTGAAGAAATAACAACCATATCATGTGATTATGGGCATATCTAAGCAATGAACTTGTGTATCTGATGTTTAGATTGCTTAAGATTAAGCACTTTCATGTTAAGATAAAACAACTGAAGATAAAATACGTTGGGCAGGTGTAACCTCTACTTCAGTGCTGAAAAGCAAGGCCGGGGCAGTTTATTAGAAGAGACTTTTGTTAGGGCATGATGCAGTTCTTGTGAATATACAATTTTCTCTATAGATTTTTGGACAGGAAGGTTGTATCACAGCTGATGTGACTCCGGTGCAGGATTGTTACAGACTTCAGGAAAAGTGTGCTTGCACATTTAAACAAGCCAAAATGTGTGGTGTCCCAGATGCAAAAACCTGTAAAGCTTTTAAAAAGCAGGGCTATGTTGTATTCAAATGAGATATTCACATACCCCTCAGGAAAATCCAATACCTAGTTATGAGGGGAAAAAAACTTATTTTAATTCCTTAAAGTTTACATGCATTATTCCTATATTTTCTTTGCACATATTTAGCCATCTCTTCTTTATTAAACGTTGCACTACATCTTCACTGGCATCTTCCCTAAGGTTTCTCTTTCCATTTCTCTTTCCTTGCACCCAAACCAACAAGGAAATTAAAATACTTCCATAAGATAAAGTTAAAATTAAAACCTATCTGAGAAGGATTGCCTCTAGTTCTAAAGTATGGCAGGTTTTCACAGATTTCCTGCAATACTCTACCCATGTTTCTTTAACTGTTTGTGACAGAAGGTTCAGTTTTATCATCAAACTTCCTTCAGATTTTCTTTTTTATTTTTTTCTTTTCATTTCCTTAAAAGAGCTTTCTGGGGAAAGGTATCCCTGGTATCTAGTAACTGCATTCAGCAGCAGGAACTGTACATATTTTTCCTTCTCCTAAGCATTAATTAAAATCTAGGTTCAGCAAGTCTTTAAGTGATCTTGGCACAAAGCAAAAATAGGTGTTTTTCCTCTAATCATTTAATAATGACCTAAATAATGAATTTTGATAGTATTTAGTTTGGCCCATGGGCAAGTCTTTTAATTCAAGCCTTAACTTTTGCTAAACAAGGCAGCTGAAAGAGGAAATAAAACCTGGAGTTTCAGTAGTTCAGATTTCTGTGCGGGTCACCTTTATTTTCTCATCTTTATCTAATGATAATGGTACACTGTGTGCCTGCAGATACCACTTCACTGCTTTGAAAAGCTCCTTGTGTTAATGTACGTAACTAACTATTTGCATCTCTGTAATTTTTCACAACTTTTTGACTTGCCTTCACAGTGTTTTTTCAGTGCAAGACGAAGCTGCAAAACACCTGAGACTGTAAGTTCTGTGATGCACAGGAGACCACAGCAGAAATGGAGGCTAATTCCTGTTGCCTGCTTACACAGAAAACACTTCTGCTTTCATGTCTAGTAGATTTGTGACTTCCTTCCACATCAACAGAAATCTCTTAGTTACACCTGGCACGTTGCTGACATCTCAGAGGTTAATAGATTTTTGCCTGTTATTGAGGAGCGTCCATCTCTGCTTTCTTTCAGTGTTGTCCCAGAGGACAGAATTAGAGAGTGGATGATAATTAGAATATATCTGTTTTAAGTGGCTTTTGGGGGAGCAGGGAGGAAAATATGCTTTTCAGAAGTGCTATGCATAGACTTAGGAGATCCTTTCAAAGTGGCTGAATTATCAACAGGACTACTCAGCTTATTTCACCACTGGTGCCCCTCAGCTCCAGTACTATTCATCTAGAGACTGAAATCTTTTTAAGTAAAGGCCAGATGAAAGTATAATTGCCTTAGACTTTTTCTAAATGTCATCACTCCGTGTGACATATGTATAGGGAGAAAAACTAACACATGCCTATATTTAATTATAAGAACAATGACAGCAATCTCATACATACTGCATTTAATAAATAACAAAATAAAATTGAATATTGAGAGAGTTTTTGAAAACTTAGATAGATCTACATTTTCAGTTACGATAAGGACCACACAATACAAAGTTCAACACTTGGGAAAAATACAAGGAAATCCCAAATCTCAACTCATTGCTAACTCCCTCCTAAAAGCAGTAGAAGATCTCACAAAACAAGGTGAGTGATGAGAAAAAATAAGTGAGAGGCTTAAAAGCTGAAGCTAGATTGGCTAACTCAGTTTTTCAGTAAGCTGCCTGATTTCTCCATGTCTTTCCATCACCACATACCATATTGAATCATGTCTTGTTGCTTTTGGCGAGAAATCCTTGTATAAGCTCAACCTGCTGAAAATAGAAGAGCCAAACTGGGCCTGAGTGAGCTAATAAAGCTATATGTAAAATTCCAAAACACATGGAAATCATTGGTGACAACTTCACTACGCTCCTCTGGGCCCACAGAGGTACAAATGCTTGCTATTTTCACAGGTCACAAAAATGTGGATTTATTTTCTCACATTGTTTAATGGTTATGGGCCCCATTTTTTCTCAAAGAGTATCAAACTCAAAAAATAGATGAGGACTTTGTACTCTGCCAGAGAAGAAAAAGCAGTTGAGGTGTTTTTGTTTTGGTTTGGGGTTTTTTTTGTTGTTGTTTTTTTTTTAAACAAAAATTTCTTTCAGGGACTGGATAGGAATAAAGGTTACCGTGTTAGAGTTTCAGCTACACTTGTCCAATGTCAATACAGAACTCTGTGTTTGATATTTTTTTTATTAATGTGTTAGTGGGTGATCTGCTTGGACAAGTACTACAGATCTGTAGAGTTTTATTTATCATCATAATCACTGCTTTGGGGTAGCAGAATTTCAGGTGCGTTTACTCATAAATGCACTTCTCCAAGGTTTTTTTTTTTTTTCCTTTTAAATCATTGAACTTATTTATGCTCGTGACATTTAAGATTTAAGTGTCGCATTTTAGAGATAGTATTTCCTGATTCTTGACTAAAACTCTGAACACCCACAGGAAAAAAATTTCTCAAACACCTCTGTAAGCAAATGCTGAGAAAGTGTATTTGGATATCAGCTCTGCCCTAGCTAGATATCCAGGCAATGTGAGCATAATAAATGGAGACCACACAGACTTGGAGCATTAAAAGTCATCCTGTTGTACAGTATGAAAGGAGGCTTTATACTGGAGCACTTTGGTGTGCATCACTGCTGCACAGCCATCGTGACAAAAAATTTCCTACAGTACTGGGGGGGGAGGGAAGAATAAAGGGAAGAAAATTAAATTGTAGTATTAAATTAATCACTTGGATTAAGCACCTCCCATTCTCTGTCTCAGAATAAGTTTTCTAAATAGAAAATTTTAAAATGTCTGTGTGGAAATCTGTAACTATTAGTCAGTGTCTGGGGAACAAATCTACACCCATAAAGCATAAGTTAACCACCCTTAGAAGTCTGATGTGAACATTAATAGCAGAGTATTAGCCCTCCACAGTGTGGTATGATATGCAAAATTAAAAGGCTAATGCTGTAAGTTTCTGTTATACTGATAAAGCTGAGTGGGCTACAGAGATTCTGTGAAGACTCAAAAAGAAGCCTACAACTAGACTTTTTTTAAAGTCTGCAGAAAAACTTCTAAGCTCTTCCTGCTTAATGGACTTTTAGACAGAACAATTGTTTCAAAGCTTTAACAGACACATAACTACTTATAGCCAAATTTACCTCTGAGACTGCACCCTTAAGAAAGCAACTTTTCTTGCATATTATCATAACATAGTTCATATTTTTATTTATAGAATGCATTTGAAAACTCCTTATTCAGGCAGAGAAAATAGAATTATTTAAATAATTTACTTTTCCGCTAGTATTTCTTTTTCCATGCAGCAACCAAGCAAGGAACACATCTTCCATGAAGACAGTGGACAATATTTGCAATATAAAAGGCAGCCCATATAACTGCATTTAATAAATTATACTGAAGGATAACATCAAAGAGTACAGCAGTTCATTTCCAAAAAAAAAACCCCAAACTGATGCTTAAACCCTGTTATCCACTGCCCTGAATAGTTAAGAATAGTTTCCCATTTTAAAAATAGAAAGAAACACATGATGGACTTTTAAAGTATTTTTGTTCTTGCAACAGAGAAGTACATTTAAACCAGACTATGATTTGAAGTCCACAAAAGGAATTTACTAAAGTAAACAAAATGCTGGGGATCCTTAAAAGTCAAGTACCTGACGATGTATGAAAACAACTGATCCCAAAAGTCTCCAGGTGCCTCCCTGTCGATCCACATGGAGCATGCGAAGTATCTGGAGAAATCGGATGCCCCTGCAAGAAAAACAGGGCATTAAATAAAAAATAGTGCTCTGTCTACCCACAGTTGGCTACATGCACTAATGTGCTGCCATATTAGAGAACTGTGATAGCAACGCCCCTGGCCAGGGTTGCATCTCAGATTTGAGGCATCTCAGTAGACTCTGTGTTTAGATTTCATTATAGTCATATATATATAAATAGGAAAAGAATTATTTAACAGAAAAACAAAGAAGCTCAGGGGGAAGTTGCCTATTTTATATGATTCTGATTGTCAAATGCCTCCTTTCCAATGAAAACCAGTTTGCTAACACAGGTAGGAGCAAACTTTTTTCTCTATTTGCCAAAAGCAGAATATGAATCAAACATGGTATCACTGACGTCCTTCTTGTGTGAGTTATAGAAATGATCTAATTGGAAATAGATACAGTTCTATGTCTTTTTAGGGCAATAAGTGAATCATAACCTTCATATTTTCAACTAATGAAAAATAATTGTCCATATGGTTCCTCAGTGTAGTTTTATTCCATGGAAATATTTTATTTAGTCATACTTTTGACAATGAACTTTGTTTGCCTACAGTCATCCACCTTAGTGACCTATCCCTGAAACAAACCAGTGAAGAGCAGGAAAGGATACATGCCGAATTCATCTATGCGAAAACTTTTCACTAAAAGTATTTTTGGCTCTTTTTATCTACCCTTAAAATTTTGTTGTGGATGTAGGTTTTGCTTTTTACCTCAGACTTCTTATTTCAAGTCCACTGTGGCTGCATTTTTCTGGGCTACACCTATAAGCTGGAAACTCAGCCATCCTGCAGCCACTGGTGTTACTCACTCTGGGAAGGCAGGTTGTCTTCTGCAATAACCAACTCTTCCTTTATTCAGAAAGCAGATGTTCTGAGCTCTCACAGCTGACAGTCAAACGATCAAAAGCTTGTCATCAAAAGCACTCAACAATCCTGACTATCAATCACATATCAGTGACCAGGTACATGAACGCCATGGTTTGTTATTTATTTGATATGCCATCAGAATAACAATTTTAATTAGCAGGAAACTTTTAAAGATTCACTTAAAACCTGCTAATTAAAACACGAGTTCAAGAATTACAAGGCTACCAAATATGTGAGCACCAATAGGCTTACACAATGCAATTGCTCACTGGTTGCTCCTCTCAGGAGGGGAGAGATCTACATGTAACACCCCTGTACAATTATTAGACACATCTCTGGATGCCACAATCAGACCTTGATTTTCCTGTCTTTTGAATCCAAGCTGGTTACAGCTATATTACTGCCAAGTGCTGACATGCATGGTACAGGCTGGCAGTTTTACAAACGAAGGTTTAAAAAACATGACGGTGAACAAGAAAATCCAGATAGCCCCCAACCATGCACAACACATATCCACTGAAAAGGAAAAAGGAATTTGTTGGAATGAAGACCTCTTTTATCAATTTGGTGACCTTGAACAGTGAGGAGGTTGGAGGACTCTGCTGGAAGCTCTGCTGCTCGGTTCCAGTCTCACTGGTTGCTGCAGTGAGCAAAACGTCAACCTGTCACACCTGGGGGGGGATCTGGAGCCTGGAACTTCATTCTACGAGTAAACAACCTGACATGCGTGCACCCATGTTTTCTGGGCTTGCTGGGATTGGAGGGAGGTACAAAGAGGACCTTAACAGTACACCTTAAAAGCAACAAAAGCAAAGACAAGGTATATGAGATTCATTCCTTCCTAATTCAACAACACTCACGTCACAGTTCTGAGGAAATCTGATGGAACTAAGACTTGTCTGACCCTGATGGTTTTTCAGTGGAGCAATAACAACACTGCAGAGATGTGGGTTAAGCTTCTCTGTCAGAGCATTCTGAGATGTACTACAGTGACTGTGTGATTGAACAGTGGGAAATGCTGCACTGAGCCCAAACCCAACTGGGTCACACATAAACACAGAGCAGGCCTTTCCATAAGAGTCCTTCCTACACTTCTAGTTGAATTCAACAAAATCTTTGGAATTTTCACATTCACCCTCCTCTTCTCCTATACAAGCTGATAAATCACATTCATGTAGCTCGTGTGAGCCTTTATTATCATGTAAGGATTAATGTTCTATGGTAAGAGTCACCTTAAAAATGCTTTATACCTGTAGTTCCCTCCAGTGCTTGTTTACACAGCTAGAGAGTTTAGACAGTACTGTACATTCTCACTTCCTAGTGATCAGATTGCATTGGAAATCAGAGGCTTGTAACAAAACATGCATCATGTCTTGCAAGTTAAGTTAGCTTATCATTCTTTTCTTCTATTTATCCACTTTTCCTCCCAAAACAAGCTTGCAGTGCTTGATGCAAGCTGAACAAACACTGTAGACATCAAATGTTTCTGGTTCATGTACAGTATGAGTTACTTGTGCCAAACAAATCCACCAAAGCATAATTACTCTTTAAACAAAGTAATTACTCATACTCAAAAAGTACTGAGTTAAGTGCTGTCTGGATTACTTCTTAAATAAACTGATGTTCTGTAATACTCTCTTGTCTCAGAAGGAGAGCTGTTTGATGTTTTATATAGGACAGAACATTTAGTTTTTTCCATTTGGCTTCAGCATTCCCACCATTTTTCATATGCCTTGTTCCTGTACTCTTGTTCCCCAACAGTGATCAAGCACAAAAGCATACAGTCCTCCACTGTCCAGTGTTTCAACAGAATAACTTTTCCTACAGTAGGAAAATCAGAAATACATCTAATTCAGAAATCAGGAAATTAGATATACATCTGATGGTAACATCTGTGGTACTGAAGAGCTACAGTCACTAGAAGAACATACCTTATTGCAGAGGTAGCAAACACCTGTCCATTAGATCCTATGCTCAGAACAATAATTGAGGCTACTACCACAATGAGATCTGTTAAAAAAAAAAAAGGAAGAATGTATTAGTTTTTAGATCTCAGCAGTGAAACACATAAAAAATACAGACTGAGGAAAGAACTTTAAAAAAAAGAAATTGTTACCTGAAATTTGGTGGGCAATAAGTTAATGTAATAGTTTCACATCAAAAACCCAATGACTACAGTTCTTCCATGAATTTAATAACGGCAATTTCAAAGAACAGCAGCTTGCCACAAAAACAACAAATGCAAAGGCATATGTACACCCTAGAAATGAATCCACATTTTAGCTCACGGTTTTGGATTTACGAGGAAAAGTAAGGGTTTGCTTCACTCAATAACGAAATGCATAAAGTCAAGTATCATGCGTACATACACATATACACTTGGTTTAAAAATTGTATCAAAGCTATAAAGCCAAGCTTTCAAAGTTTAGGGAACTGTCAGAACAAAGGTTTGCTAAAAAAAAAAAAAAAAAAAAAACAGAGTTGTTGGTTTACTTTGTGACACAGTCTTTATTTGTATGAAAAAATAATTGTTTCCAGAGATCCTTATTTTTTGTTTCCACAACCCCACAGTTTACACAGTTCCAGCACTATACAATGCAAATGATGGATTGTGTTCGCAGTGCCAGCATCCTTTATTTTCTCTTATCCTAGTTCAGTGACCATGTCTGTTTCTTTTAATTATTGAACCTTACTCTAACATTATTTTGAGAAGATATTTTTCTTATTTCCTCACAGGCATTTCTGTGGTAAACCTCTTTAGAGCATCTAAATGCTTCACTTTCAAATTCTAACCAGAAAATAAAAGATAAATGGGTAGCAAATGTAGCCAGAAAGAGGAAAAGTTTTGGTAAATTTCCCTTGCCAGCTTTAAACAGGCAGTACTTTATTCTTCAGAGCACTCAACATTATATAGCACTTCAAAAAAACCAGCGCCGGCTGACCTCACTTGCAGCTGTGAGAGCTCAGAACCTCTGTAACCCGACTTCAAAGTCTTCATTTGGACATCCAGAAAATGAGGCACACTTGTGCAAACTGATTTAACTGACTGCCACAGAGTTTCCGTGCGATGCCTGGGCAAGATGCAGGACAGAATCCAACTTGAGAGGCAGCAGCAGTTTCCTTCAGAAAGGTTAACTTGTTTTTTCCTCCCCTTTAAAAATTCTCCTGCCTCGTTCACAACCATGTTGTTGCTGCAACAAATATTGCAGAAGTTCTACAACCAACAGTATCCTTCACTCTTTGACTTGGATTAATTTCCAGTATCAGTCTGGCTTTTGCTGTAAAAGATGGATTCCTCCCCAGGGGATAGCACTCAGTCAGTTTAAAGAGTGTGCAACAATAATTGTACATTTATGAAAATGAAAATAAATAAAGGGAAGGATGAGGCTACAGAAAGAGCTTCCATTTGGGGATAATCTTAACTTTTGAAGGCCTAACTTTCCAAATTTTTCATGCTATTCTTTATTATGTATATGTGTGAACATATGTTTGTAAATACCAGAATTTAGGGTGGGTTTTCTTCCTATCACATCATAATACAGATCTTTGCTCTTAAGCAAATGATGCACCCGTGTCCTTACTAAATTATCAGACATATCCATATCCATCCAATGACCAGCACTGAAGGAGGAAAAGACTGACTCTCAGGAAATGAGTTTCAATCAGGTAGCGAGAGTAAAATAGATTTTTTATTTGTTCTTTCTACTTTTCTGAAAGTGTTCTACATGGTAGAGATATTTCTGTTCTTTTATCCCCTCTTCTTCTCTGTTCCTAGTTCTTACTTTAGTTTCCAATCTTTAGGCTTCTCTCAGTAATCTCAGTTTACAGGTCCAAATAGTCCTATTTTATATTCCAGGTCTTCAGCATATCCTGCTCTTTCACTGTCACCTTTCAATCCCATGTATTTTCAGCCCCTGCTGTTTTTCCTTCAACCTCCTGATGGTTTTTCATCTCCTTAAACATTCTTCTCCCAAACCTTTACATCCTCATCCACCCTCCTGTCATTTTACTGAGTCTGTATGTCCCAGCTCATTCCTTCTACCTCAGCATTCGAGCCTGGTATTTTCCATGTGTCCTGGGCAGATCCAGGAAGAACACTATAAAACCAAAATCAACAGATTTTCCACTTCCAGCCCCAGCATTACTGCTCCAAGAAACCTGAAATTTGAATTGTGCAGGCTCACTGCAGTTTCAGTCTCTGAGAAATATAAGAGCATTCTCTAGCAGGGCATTTGAAGCATAAACAAGCTACCAAATTTTCAGGGGCTTGTTAGTCAGTTTGGATTTTCAGTGATAAACAAAAAGCTATTTTGTCATTAAATTTCAAGTGTCTGCTTCAAAGTTTGGAAGTGTTAGTGCTTCTCCATAAGAAAAGGTCAGAACTGCCTTTCTCAGGAACAGCTTAAACATCCTGCATGAAATGCCTCCACAAGACTCAAGCTGAAGCAGACACTGACATGAAAAACATCAGGATAAAGAGCCAACATTTGTTTAAATAACTTTTTCAACTCTAACAAGCACTAGTATTTAGAATAGCATCACACTAGTATTTATGGCAGTTCTTAAAAACTGAAGTGTCAAGGAAGTTCGGTAATTTAAAAAATCTGAATACCTGTAATTTATAAACAGCAATATGCAGATATTCTTCTTGAAGTTTCTACCTACTTATGTGTCTGCAAGCATGTCTGTACATACACAGGAGGTGTAGAGAGAAAAAAGGGACATAGCATATTCTATACAATACATGCACCACACATGCAGACGACAGACCTACAGAGATCACATTCCCTGCAATTTGGCATGTGTAGTACTTTAAAAATCTCATCCACTGCTAGTCCACTGCGGCTTACTGATGTTCTGAATCCTTGAGAAATTCCAAACAGCTGTCATTTTAATATAAAAGATCAGTTTGCCAATATTACTTAGTTATACATAAACTGCAGCGTAGCACATAACACCTACACTGTAGCTCACCTGAGCATTGCTTTCTATTTGAGCAAATTTCTGATGTGTTTCTAATGTTTCCAGAAGTTTACTTTCTAATGTGCAATTCTCAGCTTTTTCATTAGAAGCAATTAATAGTTTTTAAATTTAAAACAGTAAGACTATTTGTATTTTATTTCATATTTTATTGCTGTGCTATATTACAGAATGTAAACAGTCCTCAGCTTAAAGGAGTGTTCTTAGTAGTCTGAAGATAATCTGATGTCCACAAGGACTTAAAATACACAGACTATATGCACATATTTGAGTTTGATTTTACATCACTTTTTTTTGCTGAATTTTTTGTGTTCTATCAGCATTTCATGAATTATAAAGATAACTGGAGCTTTACATACCAGGTGCTGCTGCTTTTTCAGAGCTGTATACATAAACCAATTAAAGGTGCTTATAAATAAAGTTCTACTGTGCTTTACTTAAGGACAGTATAAGATGGACACACTATGCAGGCTCGAGTTTTTACACCGGTAACTTTTGTCCCCCTTACATCTTTCAAACTGCATCCTGTCAAAACCAGGAGAAACAAAAGCTAATTCATAAATTGGTTCTTTTGTGATATTTTCTGCAACAACAACAAAAGGATAAAAGGTTGTGAAAGGGCATTCATTCTCTTGATTTTGCCTGTGCTTGGTACCTGCTTTTCATAAAACCCTAATTAGGTTGAGATTCTCAGAAGCATTTAGCTCCCAGCCCAACCTACTGAAATAGTAAGTAATGAAAGTGTTAAATTAGTATTTCAGAAAGGAATCACTATTGCTGCTGCTGCTGCCATGGGACATGAGCAGCACACACTAAACATGCTCATTCTGTGAACTAGGGAATGAAGAAGCATGGAGAGAAAAAGGGATTTTTCTAAGGATTCTTGGTATTCTGGGAATTAATTCAATATATGTCTCCTGACAGGTTATTTAATTATAGAATTGTCTTTTCTCACATACATGTAATCATCTACAATCTGTCTGCAAAAAGGAGAAAAATTAGGCTAACTTTAGAAAATCTACCTAAGAAATTAAAAAAAGAAAAAAAAAGATTTACAAGGTAAGGAAATTGCATCATTTTCCATTGCACCTAAAATGTTAAAATACCATTCAAGAAATAATGTGTCCTATCTTAACATTTTCCTTTCCCAGTTATAGAAGTTGCACATTAACATACTATTTTAAGCAGCATAGAATTCAATAATATTTTAAAAGTTTATAAAAGAAAGTAATAATTAGGCTTGACTACTAAAACTCTTTCAAGTAATCAGCACCAAAGTAATTTTTATTTACAATTAGAGAGGGGAGGAAAGGAGGAAAGATAATGGAAGAAATTAAAGAAATTCAAAATTGAACTTTCTAAGAATGAATTCAAATTTTAGTGTGAACAGAAACCCACAGAAAAAATCTCCCTGCTGTCAAAGAAATTTCAGTGGAATTTTTCTGATTTTAAAATACAGAATTTTGTATTAATGCAGAAGTAAAATGAATACCTTATTTTTACATTCTGTTCTAACCTTTAATTTCTTTTTCTAGTGTTTGTACTTTATTCATGTTGATTTGAAAATTATAGGATGAGTCAGGATGATTCTTGTTCCTCAATAACCCAAAACTGAGTACAGCAGCTCATCACATTATTCACTACTTACATCTAGATATATAATAGAATATTTTGTTTCCTGAGTTTTTCCACTGTTCCATAGTGTCACAGATGGTTAAGGAAAAATCAGCTCATTCTCTCCCCTTTTACACCTCTGTCACTTCGCTCTATGTTTGACTAAAGTAAAATTTACAGCTCTGTATAATGGACTCCATGATTTTATGGTCTATTATAATTCTGTACAAACACCATCACTTTTTATTAATCCCTCACTGTTCCACAGGTTCTATTAGTTACCTCTCCTAAACTCCCTCCTGCTCCAGAAATGCTACTTACAATAGTCCCTCAAACCATCTAAAATTGTTTAACTTTACTACTACCCAATAAAATTTTTCCTGAGTTCTACTTTTCCCATTTCCACGTTTTTCTCAATTTACACTCACCTTTGTGTTTGCTTTCTACAGGAGACCTAAAGAAGGACTTTGTGTCCAAAATCTTATCAATTTTCTCCAATTAAACAAATAGATTTGGTCGTTTCTTCACTTTACAATTCTGCCTTTCTATGGCTGATGTCTGCCTGTGTCTCACAGCCACATTTTAAATGTTCAGTTCTAGCAATCCCAAAGGAGAAATAATTGCATAGGTTCACAAAGCAGATAAATGCTAGAGGAACAGACACAGCTCAGCTGCAATAAGCTCTCTGCAGTAGCTGACATCTTTACTTTAAAACAAAGAAGGAGGGGGGAAAGAGTTTAAATCTTACCGATGATCGATATTGGCTTTCTGGCAAACCGGATTCTTCCCTGGAAGCCCACATATTTACTCCTGCAGCCTGCAGACCACAACCGGACCAAATATTCAGCACCGAAAAACACAACCAGTACTATTTCCTATCAGAAGTAAAAGGAGAAGATATCAGGGTTTTTTTTCATTAGAAGTCAGATTACAGTTTGCACATCTAATTTATTCCTATGACTTATACAAATAAGTTTGTTGAGATGAATGATGCAATAAAAAGGATTGTGCCTAATCTGTTTGCTTTTTATGTGCATATGCCAGCTAGTACATAAAACTGAGATATAATCTGTTCCTGAATGTGATTTGCATGAATAAATGGATGGTTTCATTCCATCAGTCTATCATAGGGAAAAATCACGATTTTCTTCTTCTTTCAAAAACTTATAATTTTTAAAAATAAAGAATGGAGGGAGGCTACAGGCATATAATTCCTAAAACTAGCAAGTATATGAAACATTTCTAGATCATGAAAAAGAATTTATGATCATAAAACCAAAAAGTGTAATTTCAATGTTTGTATACTTGAAATAGAATCACAGAACATGACAAGATGGAAGAGACCCATAAGGATCAAATCCAACCCCCTGCTCCTTGCAGAACTACCTAAAACTAAACCATATGACTAAAAGTGTCATCCATATGCTCCTTGAACTGTCTCGTGCATGGTGCTCCCTGGGGAACCCATTCCAGTGACCGACCACTTCTCAGTAAAGAACCATTTCCTAATGTCCAGTCTGAACTTCCTCTGGAGCAGTTTCACTCCCTTTCCTGTCCCATTGCTGGTCTAATAGTTTGATGTCGTTCTTATATTGAGGCACCCAAAACTGCACAGGACTCAAGGTGGGGCTGCACCTTTGCAGGTAGGACAATCACCTCCCTTGATCACTGGGTGTGCTGGGCACCCCAGGACACAGGTGACCCTTTTGGCTTCCAGGGCACACTCGTGACTCATATTGAACTTGCCATCAACCAAAAACCCCAGATCTCTTTCTGCAGGGCTGCTCTTCAGCCTCTTGTCCCCCAGTTTGCATGTGTAACCAGCATGGCCTTGTCCCACATGAAGAATAAATCTCTTGCTCTTGTAAAATTTCATACAGTTGGTGATTGCCCAGTTCTCTGGTCTATCCACATCTCTCTGTAAGGCCACTGTACCCTCAAGGGAGTCCACAGCTCTTCCTAGTTTAGAATTGTTGTCAAACAATGTATATCTGATTCCTGAGTCTGGATCATTTATAAAAACATTGAAAAGCACTGGCTGTAAAGTTGAGGCTTAGGGAACCCCACTGGTGACTGACTGCCAGTCTGATGTCATAACCCTTTGAGCCATTGTATAGCTTGTCTAGCTGTGTGCTTGTCTAGCAGTTTATCCAGAAGGATTTAGTGAGAGACTACCAAAAACTTCACTAAAATTCAAAAACACCACATCTGCTGCCTTCCTGTGGTCAGCTGTCAGTGACCTGGTCACAAAGGGAATTTAAGTTGGTTAAGAGGGACTTTCCCCTCATGAACTCATGCTGGCTGTAACCAGTGACTGTCTTGTCACTGGTGTGTTTTTTGGCAACCCTCAAAACAACCTTCTCCATAATTTTACCAGGCACTGAAGTGAGGTTGATAGGTCTGCAATTACCAGGGTCTTCCTTCTTACCCTTCTTGAAAACTGGGACAACATTTGCCAGCTTTCAGTTTAGTGGGACTTCTCCAGAGTCCCAAGACCATTGAGAAATGATGTCCCACAATGACATCTGCTAGATCTTTCAGTATCCTGGGATGAATCCCATCAGGCCCCTGTGCATTCAGCTGGAGCAGCAAGACTCAAACAAGTTCAGGGTCGACTGTGATTTTATCATCCTCCCAGTCGTGGTCTTCCAACAGAGCTCTGGGCTTCCCAGGGCCCATCATTGTTTTCGAAGACAGAGGTGAAGAAGGCATTAAATGTCTCTGCTCTGTCTACATGCCTATTTGTGAGGTGACTGATCTCATCAAGCAATGGCCCAATGCTATTTCTGATTCCCCTTTTGCTATTAACATATTTTTAAAAGTCCTTTTCATTGTCCTTCACAGCACTGGCCAGCTTGAACTTTAATCGAGCTTTGGCTGCACTAACTTTCTCTCTACCATGGTGGACAGAATCTCTGTAGTCCTCCTGTCACCTGTCCTCGTCCATACACTTACCTTTTCTGCTAAGTTCTAAAAGATCCTTGCTCAGCCAAGCTGCTCTTCTGCTCCACTTGCTTGACTTCTACACTTTGAATTGCCTGCTCCTGTGCTCTTAAGAGATGGCTCTTAAGGAGTGACCAGCATTCGTAATAGTCCCCAAGACCTTCGAAAGCAGATTCCCAAGAGACTTTACCACGTAGCTCCTTCAGCAGCCCCTAATCTTCTCTACCCACACCCAGCATCAAAGTTTCACTGGAAGTTTTTCTTCTGTCGCCAACTTTTGAAACTCAACTAATTCATGGTCACTGTGACCAAGACAACCATCAGTCACCACTTCACCCACAAGTCCCTCTCTTGTTTACAAACAACAAATCTAGGAGGGCACCTTTCCTAATTGGCTACTTGCACCAAGAAGTTATCTTCAACATGCTTCAGAAATTTCCTGGACCTGACTGTATTCTCTGTATGACATTCCCAGTTGATATCTGGGAAGATAAAATCACCCATAAGAACAAGAGTAGCTGACGCAGAGATATCGCTTAATTATTTGCCAAATATTTATATACTATACTATTATATTATATTATGTTATGTTATATATAATAATTAATTGGTGTTGTCATTCTGGCTGGATGGTCAAGCGTAACTCCCACAACGACATCTGATTTATTTACTTTCCCCTTCATCCCTACCCAGAGGCTCTCAACCACATCATCACCAGCTGTAAGCACCATACAATCCAACTCTTTCCTCACACACAGTGCCCCCACCCCACCTCGCCTGCCCTGCCTACACCCTGAAGATCTTAAAAACTGTCCCTCATTCCCCCCCCCAGTCACTGGACTCATCCCACAAGGTTTTACTTGCCAATCATTTCATAGTTCTGGAACTGGGTGCAAGCTGTAGGATCCTGGTAGGTCTCTTTGTTCCTGAGAACCTGAGCTTTCCCTAGGATGGAATCCCACCCTATCCTTAACCTGGAGTGCTCTGCTGTGGATCTGGGTGGTACCAGAGCAGCACACCTCGCTGACTGAGGTGAGCTGTACATACACCATGTAAAATAAATGAATTACCTATATTTTAGTGTTCTTTCCCTCTACAGCACTACATTGCAAAGCACTTGTGCACGACCAAGGGTAAGATACTTTTAAATACTTCTAAAGAAAGCAGATTAGTAAAGATCACCACCTGGACAGATTTGTTGAGATCTTTGTTCCTTCCTTCCTTATTTTCCTCAATATGCTATTGAGGAAAATATGCTAGCATTTCAATATGCTAGCACAGCCAAAATACAGCTTCTAGGCTTTGTTCCAACCCAAACTGCATCCAGTAACTCAGAGCCACCAAACACCTACTACATAATTTATAGCTTTGGAAAATATTTGTATTTTAACTTAAACAAGAGTGTAATCTGCACCTGGGGAATTCTAAAGCACCCAAAGAGTGCACACACTTAAATCACAATTTTCACTGAGTAACAATATCAACATGTCTTTAAAACGGACATTCTGGATGGTTGAAAAGAGACCAAAATATTTCAAAGTTGAAAACCAGATAAGAAAAACTCTAAACTAATATGAAAAACTTCATGTCAATTTGGATTTTTAACAAAGTTAGGTTCATGTTTCTGTATTCACTTCTGCCTCCTTGTTTTGCCTGGAATGAGAACCAAGAGAATGTGCACAGTCTTCCTCTGTTTTCATGGCACTTTCAGCCTGACTAAACCAAGTATTAGTATAAAGTTAAGAAAGTTTACAGCACACTTTCCAGGCCGAAACACAAGAAAATACGCAACAAATTAACTCTCCAAGTTTGATTTTTTAATTAATGTATTATCTTGAGCATCCAGAAATAATTCTTCTAAATTTGTGTTCTGTCTGAAATCTGAATGCAAATATTTATTCAAGCATAATAGTCAGAGCAAAACCCAAGAATAATCTGCAGAGGAAAACAATTCTTACATTTCTGGAATCTTGCAAAATGCTCTCTCACATTAAATTGTCTATGTTTTTTAGCAGGTTCCTGGTATCATCACTCAGTAGCATTTGTTTTCAAGTCACTTATCAGGGATCTCTTATTTCCATCAAAGGAAGCAGGACACTTTATGGCAGTGGAAGAATCATTTTTACAGATCTGCATATTAGAATCACACATCAGTTAGGTAAAAAATTGTATAGAAAGGAGAAAAGCAGATAAATGTTAAGGAAGCAAAAACTTCTTAGACTTAGGTTATTCCTTGATGATCTTTTGAGGGTACTTTTAAAAGCTGAAATTAAAACTGTATCTGGCCTAAGGGTATTTGCCTGAAGGCAAATGCCAGAACCTACAATTTCATTTCATCTACCAACAAGAACCCATCTTGGTTATGTCCAGGAAACCCTACTGCAGTAAATAAAGTTGCACAGTTAATGAAAGAAAAAAGAAGAAGGAAAAGGAAGAATTTGCATCTTCAAGACACTTGAAATTAATTACTGATCTCAGTTCATTTTGTCCATGACAGGTGTTCATATTACCAAAACCACAGCAATTAACACATTTGTTGGCAGCCTCAGACAGGCAAAGACCAAAAAGGCATGGAAACTGGACAAACAGCATAGCTCTATAGATGGTCCCTCAAAAAAAACCAAGGAAGATTATGAAACTTACACTCTTGTTTTGTGTACTCCTGATGTAAGATAGGAGACATCCATTTCCAGGGCTGTCAAGGCTGATCAAGCTTCACCTCACTAAACTCACCTTTAAAAACACCCCTAACCTGCCTCCTTTTCCTCCTCTACACATAAACACTTTCCGAACCTTAAATTTATTGCCTCATATTTACCTTCTGGTAAAGAAAAAAAAAAACCCAGCAGTTTTCTGGAAAGTCAGAAAAAAGTACTTAATCCCACTGGAATGGCAACAAATGACGGTGAGGACTTGTGGACAAAACATGAAC